TCCGAGGTCGACTGATTGAACAGTTTCTTCTCTCCCACAGTGCATGTCTCCTGAATCGAAAATAACCAACCTATTATATCTTCGCTAACAATACCTATTCCTCCATAGATCTAAGCATAGAATCTCCACCGCTTGTGCCTCTACTTCACTGGAAAGTCATCACTAATCTCCACGGAAGTGACCATATTGCGGTAACTTTGAGCACGCCTACATCAACTGAATTCCTGCCACAGGTTCTCAAATGGCTTTTAGGCAAAGCCGACTGGGAACAGTTTATACCATCACTGATATACTTGGTACAACATATGCACTTTAAGCATTGATGCAGCTGCCAACTACTTCACAGCACTTCCGATTTATGTAGCAACAAAATGCATTCCACAATCAAATGGACGCCATGGAAAACGACGTATGGCATGGTGGAACTCAGAGTGCCAAAATGCGCGCAACTAGCAAACCAAAGCATGAAGGTTGCTTCGGAACTCGCCGACAGCCAAAAATCTTGACATATTCAAGAAGATGAAGTCTCAGGCCAGGAAAACGCGTCGGCAGGCCAGAAGAGAAAGTTGGCACAATTTTTTATCAGGGATAAATACATATACCCAAGAGGCTAAAGTCTGGAACATGGTTGGTAGAGTAGCATGAAGACAAGTACAACACTCCCTTTCGTAAACACACAGGGTGACAGCCCGGAAGATCAGACAAACTTCCTCGGTGCACAGTACGAGCAGATGTCTACCTCGTCACACCATACTGAAGCTTTTCAAAGATATAAAGCAAAAATAGAAAAGCAGAAACTAGAATACAAGCGTACAAAACACGAGACAAACAACCAACCTTTCAATTTAGCTGTGCTACAAACATCACTAGACTCTTGGAATTATTCTGACCCAGGCCACGATCATGTCATCTATGAATTGTGGAAAAACCTGCCGCTAACAACGCGAAAAACTTTACTCTCCTTATACAATGATATCTGGCTTTCTGCTACCATCCATACTTCGTGGAAAGAGGCTATTGTTATCTCTATTATGAAACAGGGCAAGTACCTTTCCTCAGTTTCGAGTTATAGGCCCATTGCACTAACCAGGTGCCTTAGTAACATTTTCAAAAACTGCTAACCGCAGATTTTTACATTTCTTTAAAACACACAATCTGCTCGACCAATTCAATTCAGTGTGGGTTTCGAGAGGGTTGATCCACCACCGACCATCAGGTGCGTATCGAGGCACAGATCCGAGACCCTTTCGTTTACAAACAATACTTCTTCTCTGTGTTTTTCGATATCGAGAAGGCTTACGACACAACATGGTGATTCGGCATATTAAGGGACTTGTCTCACCTGCTTGTGTGTGAAATAATGCTTTGCATGATCGAGAGCTACTTGTCCAATCGGACATTCCGTGTCCGTGGGAGAAGAGTCCTCTCCCAAAATTTTGTGTAAGAAACAGGAGTACCACAAGGTGGTGTACTTACTTGTAAACTTTTTGTCATCAAAATTAATTCCTTGCACCTTTCCATCCCCCGCAGTATGTTTTATTGTGCATATGTCGATGACGTCCAGCTTAGCTTTAAGTCATGCATCCTGGCATTGTGTGAGCGGCAGGTTCAGCTAGGTTTAAACAAGGTCACCAAATGGCCAGAGAGAAACGAATTCCGGCTGAAGCCACGAAAAAGCTCGTTTGTGTTCTCTCAAAAGAGAGGCATGCCCTCAAAACCTAACATTCAACTGAATGGTCAACATCTGTTTGATATTGCCGAGCATATATTCTTACGCCTAATCTTGGACTACAAGATAACCTTCATAGCCCAAATCAAATATCTAAAAACAAAAAGTTTAAAAGCCATGAATGTTCTGAAAGTGTTGTCATGTACTACGTGGGGCAGTGACAGACAATGTCTCATAAATTTGTATAGAAACCTCATTCGCACCAGCTTAGAATGTGGGGCAGTTGTTTATCACTTTGCAACTCAAAGTGCTTTGAAGATGCTGGATCCCATGCACCATTTGGGCATCCGCCTTTCTAGTCGTGCTTTTCGCACTAGCCCTGTAGAAAGCCTTTACGTCGAGTCAAATGAGTGGTTTCTTCATCTGCAGAGAACTTACATGTCCTTCGTATATTTTTTAAAGGGGAAAGCAGACAAGAAGCACCCCTCATACTCTACTAATAATGATTTCTCGAGCTCCAATCTGTTTCGAAACAGGCCTTCAATGAGGCTGCCCTAGTCAGTTCGCCCGATAGGTCCAGCTGAGGAGACTGGTGTGTCACGTGAACACAGTTTAATGGCTCCTTTAGCATACCCGCCACAGTGGCAGTGGCAGACTCTAAACTGCAATGTGTCTTTTCTAGAAGTTAAAAACATGCGCCCATTGCCCATATCGGAACATAAACACAACTACAACACAACTACACATGTTTTGAGTTCTTTACAGATGCCTCTAACTCATCTGTGTCCTACGCTACTGTCGGCCCATCCTTTTCGGATGCTGGCCCTCTACATCCAGACATAAGTATCTTCACAGCGGAAGCTTATGTGATACTTGTGGCGGCTAAAGACATCAAACAATTACAACTACAAAAAGCAGTATTTTTATACGGACTCCCACAGTGTGGTAACAGCTCTCAAACTCTTAAAAAACAAATTAAAAACCTGTCCTCCACTCACTCTACTCTACTTTATGCACACTCTATACACTAAAACAAGATGTTGTAGTGTGCTGGGTGTCAGGGAGCCGTGAGATTCAAGGCAACGTGATGGTAGATCAGCTTGCAGCATCTATCCACGAAAGCCCTGCCACTACACCCACATCAATCCTGGCCTTTGATCTTAAGCCATCTCTCAGACTAAAGCTTAGGGACCACTGGCAGAGCAAGTGGGATAGGCTCACACAAAACAAACTACACGTTATTAAGCCACACCTTGTTCATTGGCTGCCATTATCCAAATCACGTCGTACAGAGGTAACATTACCGAGGCTCAGGATAGGACACACATACACAACACACTCATATCTTTTGTCCGATGGCGATCCACCATTGTGTAACAGATGTGGTGAAGCACTAACCGTTCTTCACATTTTAATCCAGTGTGAATAAATAGACACTCTAAGAAGACACCACTTTCCATTACCCTACCCACAACATATGCCATTACACCCTGCTATGTTCATTGGTAGGGAACCACTTTTCTCTCAAAAATCATCGCAAGCTTTTTTGAGAGGTGCCCGCTTCTACCATGTCATATAATAAGGCATTGCGTAGCGCGACCTCTCAAGAGAGGTTGCTGCTGCAGTGGCTACACTGAAAAGCACTTTCCTCACGGCTCTTGGACACAAGGTCCCTGATAAAGCACTTGTGCCAAATATTTTTACACGTGCTTTTTATATCAAAACCTTTTGTCACCCAATTTTACTACACTATCACGCCACAGTCATGATTTTAATATTTATTTTTTTACCCGCGTTATCGCGAGGAGTTTGGAGGCCCCTATACAGCCACACACCATATCATTGTCCACATCTCTAGTCACCGCAATGGTGCTCTTTGGCCATCAATTAGCCCTTGCGCCATAGAGCACCACATATCATCGTTATTTCTAACACGACAACGGATAGAGACTCCTACAAATTTCAGTAATTTTTCAAAAAAGGGTTTTCTGTCATTTCTCTTGCGATCGATAAAGAATCATGTGACTTAGCCTTCTGAACATGACGCAAAATTGTACCTGTGCGCAAAATAAAACATTTACCATTTTACTTATTCTTTGAAGCTATACAAGAAAAAAAAAGATTTTCTAAAAACGCGTATACGCACTCCCGAGACAAGAATTCTCATGTATGCTTTCTGTGATGTTTCCATTGCACTGGGACTATCATGAAGTAAACCATCAGCTACAAACCCTACAACTTTTTGCGTGCGCTAGCCTCTACAACGGCAGGCCGAGAGTTATGGCAAGTTGGCTCGGAGCGCTTCCGCCAGATTGCGGCGATAGGTAGAAACAGCCTCCCATGCGCAGCAAGTGTGCCACCCCTGTGCGCAGGCGCGCCTCTCGACTTGCCGTGGCATACCATCTAGAAGGGCATGATTCGGAATTGTTCAATGGCAGTCATTGCTGCTGTGGCTCCCGCTTCTTTAGCGCTGCTGCAATTACCGGCGGCTGCACAGTACAGCCGGGCAATGTTGTGCACGGCAGCAATCGCGCAAGACGGCCACTTTCAGAAGGGAAAATTAATTTGCTCTAACGCGATGCCAATCATTAACACAATATTTTATATCAAAACAAGCACTTCGTCACCAAAAAGTAGCACTATATACCAGGTTTCTGAATCAATATTTAGGCAATTAACATCCACTAATTATTTGAATTTAGTGTCCATTTTAAGGCGCTATCGCCGAGCAATAATCATGGCGGCAGGCATGCTTCATAAATTATTAGCTAAAGTATGTGTGCCATGGTGGTGCTCTTTCGAAGGCCACATTATTCGCGATTAAAGTTAATTTGTTCACCAGGTTGGTGCCTGTGAGGCACGTGGCTTGAAAAGGCAACGCGTAAGTTGGGCTACTCATAACGAATGCATACATCAATTTGTTTACGCATGCCATTTGTTTGCGTATGTCACTCTCTTTTAGCTCGCTCGATTATGTTGATGAACGTATGCAGCAATGCTGCGCGAGGAACATGGCGCAGTGAGGCGAGCCAACAGTTTTTAAGGCTAGCGCTCTACTTATTTGTTTGAAAAATCCACATTGTTTTCTATGTAGCTTTCTGCTATGAGCAGATTGTTGTCAATTTTGTTTTTTAACAGCTATCTACAATCAATTTCGTAATGTATTAATGGAAAACTTTTGTAACTTCACGCAGATTTGAAGTCGTGGTATTTCAAAGCAAGGAAAGGAACTGCAGCTGTATGTTAGTCAACGACTAGAACACAATGGCCGAAACAATACCATACATTCGCAACAAAATTACGCATAGCAGACAAAGAAGTGGCGCGGCCGCACATTGCCGGTCAGGATGCCCTCTCTATTCTGCGAGCTTAAGTAATTCAAACAGTTAACAAAAGCGACATGAAAACAGAGGCACTACTAGCCATTCTAGTCTTTATTATCTATGACATTGCTATTATTACAGCTCGCTTGGATATCAAAGAGGTAAGTTGCCTGTACAGTGTATTTGAAATTTCACGAGATCTTCAAAGTGCTAAATTACCTAATTGATAATATCGGCACACTCTTCAGAACCTAAATTTTGTCATCTTACGTGGAAAATCGGCTTTGGTATGTATACTTTAAGATTCTTAAAAGTGATTACGCAGTAGCACTCACACAAGGTTGCTGAATCATTAGGTAATTGGCGTTTTATTCTGAAGTCATTTCTAGTTACATATAAAAGTAGTAGGTTAGGTTATGGATAGTCAAAGAAATTAGCGGTCGTATTATGACATGCTCTGATGAAATATTACGCTATTCGTAAGCAGGCTGTCTGCTACAGTCGACCTTTTTACCAAGTGGACTCAACTTCTTCAAGGCTGCAACTACCTGCCTTTACAATTCTGCGAGAACACCTGAGCACAGCGAGTTTGACCTGTGCCACCATATATGAGCAACACGTCACGCGATGTGTTGCCAACGCGGCGAGGCAACAGCCTGAACTGTCATGCCAGTAGACGCTCTGCAATTCAAACACAACCCTTTCCCCCAAGAGTCCGACTGTTATATGTTTCGCGTTTGTCCACTCCTCGAAACTCACGCTGTTTCCTTATGAAATGACTAGAAGACCATCCTTGAGTACCGGATTGTCGACAGCCAGTGAATTGCAGCCTGCGGAAGCAACTTTATCAGGTATACGTATTATCGCGGTAGTTCAGAACGTAACAATCAACTCACTCGAACTGTGACATGCCTTGACTGTCACTAGGCAAAACTTGTGCTTTCAGCCGGCGTCAGTGTAGCGCTTGAAGCCCGCTCAGGATTGCGCTGGTGCAGCACATGTGTTTATGATTTGCCAATAGTACCAGGCACTAGGAACACACAGCTGGCGCAAAAGTGCGAGCCAGAGGGTAATTTTTTAGTGCTACAATAACACCGGCTAGAACCTAGGATTCGACTGTTGAAACTTAAAGCATGTCGCTGTTCGACTGAGTGAAAAGCGATGCTTTGCGCTGCTGACGTTTCTTATAGTTTTTCGTATTGGTCACAGTCGTTCACTGGCGGCGGAGCTAGACGTTTTTTTGTCGGCAATGGAAATCTGTGCAAACTGAGAACTCCACACCGGCACAGTTTCCGCACCCTGTTGTAAACATTAGAGCGAGTGCTAAGTTATACTCTACTCTTGCGCTAGTTGTTTTACCATCTGAAGACGGCCTAGGCGCACCCACTACACTTCTTGTAGACGAAAGTGACGTGAATAGCCGCTTTTTTTGTATTTTAAAGTTACACAGGCACCACTTGTCATGTTAACGAGGCGCTACTGAAACAAACCTTGGCAGTTTAAAATGAAAATTAAAGACCCTTATGCTTTGCCTTTTAAAGTTCAACGCGATAACACTATTTTGTTTTTAGTGATGCAATCGATAAACAGAAAAGTCGCGTAGTGTCAGGAAGGGTTTTCGTATGGTAGTAATATGTGTAATGGGATGCATTGTTTAAATAAGAATCAATTATGCAGGTAAAGTTTTTCATATTTTCCTATGCACCCATAACGAAATCTTAAGAAAATGCACCTAGTAACCCTGTAAACAGAAATAGGCCGAGATAAGTGTAAACAACTGGTCCTCTCGCGCATGCCCCGATGCGATATTTATAAACACCCTCCAGAGGGAGTAAAAACTTTACTCCACATTAGGAGGCGGTTTTGGATGCATTTAGGAGAGCTTGGATTTATATTCAACGGGAAATTTTTGAGATCAGTATTGGAGTAAATTTTCACATCCACTGAGGAAAAAAAATCAAGTCAGCAGCCGTACCAAGCACAAGCGAATATTTATATTTTCGAAGCACGAAATTTTTGTCACAAAACACAAACCAGCCTACAACGCTCAAGTAATATAAAACATTTACACTCAACACAGCATGCAGCTCGCTCTGCACACGCAGTTTTGTGTCAAAGGGTATATATAGGCACCACATTTTGACCTCCAAAGAAGCTCGGTCGGGACCTTCCTTTACTAATATATAGGCTATTAACTTGCAAGGCATAGGTATATATTTGTGGTGGCCTCGTGTAAGCACTTCAACACACCTTTTATTCTAAGCCTGCTTGTGCTCAATACGTTTTATTTACCTATGGCGAAAAGGTTTTGTCAGTTGGTGCTCTGTCATATAGGCTGAAGTTGCATTAGCAGTACTGTGCGTGAATCCGTAAAATGCACTGAATTGTACACAAAGCCCGAGTGGCTTTACATGAACACATCAGCGACGCACATTGAGCAGCTCAAGTGATGAACCGAGTTACACCGCCGCTTCTGTATTCGACGACTAAGCCTCACTCAGGAGTACGGCACGGTGATAAGGTGAATGACAGCTAGCGGTCAAAAACCTCTTGCTACTGTGCAGTTTTCGTCTCGTTGTTTTTCTTATGCACAGAAATACGTGTCCACTATCCACGTAGTTTGAGCTATGAGCAATGGACCTAAACGAACTAGACAGTTCGCTGTCGCAGTTTCTGTTGCTCGCATGCACTGCATGGGCATGCATGCCGTACACCGTTTCTGTGTGTCTCTGCCTCGCTCGACGCTCACCTTCGAGTTGGTAATTTTACAGCTGCGGTCGCAAGGCACAGTGGACACTCATTCATTCAAGCAGCTTTTATTGTTCGGGAAACACAATCTTTGTCTTGCCGGTGGTCGGTGCTAGCTCGTAGAGCTCGTCACGGTGGCCGGCACGCAGTGAGAGCTTGCTACGACGTGGGCTTGATACCGACGGCATAGCGAGGCCTTATTACTGCTTAGATGTTGTATCCCGTGAAAGGCTGGTGACACTCCGAGAAGCAACCGTCCGCGGAGTCGGGGTGAGCGCGATCCCGGCGCAACTCTCTCACCATTTACCGGCCAGCCTGCCATGGTCGAGCGGCGCCTACTTCGGCCAGCTCGAAGTTTTAGATGGTAAAACCCCAAGGGCGATCGCTCAAAATCGAAATGTCTGGCTTACTATTGCTACCATTGAAGTATTGTTCGAAATGTTTTTTTGTAACTCGGCCCTTTGAAGCAAGGCATTCGTGGCGTTTCGTTGAGGAGTTGAACCAATGTCGAGTGTGGTTCAACAATGCGAAATACCTTGAACTATTCAGACGTAACACCAACCGGTCGTTACCAATCTTCGCTGCACTCATAATTTCCTGTCGTGTCGACAGTTGTTCACACGGTCAGCCACACAACGGCACGGGTATCTCTTTGTACGGGCATCTCTTTGCACGTCAGTGTTTTACACTGACGTGCAAAGAGACGCCCGTACATACACCTTAACACACAAACCCACGGACGCACGTCACGACCAAAATGAGTATTTTCAACTCCCATAGGAAGTTTGTAACCACGTCGTTTGAAACTCTGTGGGGAGTTTAACAAGCTCAGGTTGTTCATAAACTCTGTCATTAAGCAGAAGGCGTTTTACGACATGTGCCAAGTTCACTCTTTACTAGGTGTAAACAATTGAAGCAAGGGAGTTGTGGCGGCTCATATGCTATAGAAACTTCCATCTCGGCAAATTTTTGCTTACAGTGTGCCCCTCGTAATGGGTGAGTGGCTTTGAACAACGAGGCCTTTGTTATAATTCCATCTAGGATACCCCACGGCAATGTACGCTTGTTCTCCGCAATACTGCTGCGGTATTGGATGTTGCATTGTAACTTTCTGCCAAAGATGCGTATGTTTGTGAAGCAGGTGCTACTTTCGGTATATTTTTAAGCAAGAATCTCATTTTCTGGCTATTTTTAGGCGTACGCGTGGCTGTGTAGTAGACCACCTGCTTTCCACGTAAATGACCTGTGTTTAATCCTCACAGAGACACAGAAGTTTTTCTTGCTTATATTTATTGCGTCGCTGTAAACTTTTTCATCATAGACAAGAGTTTTGGCTGATAACCAACGACGCCGACACTGACTCTAGCGCCAATATTTCTAAATTTGATATTTTTTGCGGGCTATCACGTTAAAACGGTCTTCGGGATGCGAGATAATGGGGCCAGGAGCCGTTAGATGTCTGGGTGCGAGATAAGCGTGCTAAGATATATAGGCTTCGCACCTTCTCCTCAAACGAAATAAACCAACGTGAGAGAGCGAGTGCGAAAGCCAGACAGGTGGGAAAAAAGGAGCGGCCAAAACAAATTCGGCAAGTATAAAAAAAGTACTGCATGATAAAAAACAAAAGCGGGTTTGGGAGCGTAGTTGTTTTGCTGATTTATAACTGTGACCAGAGGCAACCTTTGATAATCGCACTTTCAGGAGTATGAGCGTCGTCTGATGTTTCCCGAGAAGAGACCTAAGTTATAACTCGTTTTTTGAATGCATGTATCCACAGATGAGTTCGAAAGCCCTCTTCGAAACATTTGTACTTCCTAGTGCGAGTGTATTAAGCTCATGAATAAAGTTTAACTCTAAAATTTTGTCTCCAGGAATCGGTAGGTATGACTGAAGTATTACCCGTTTGAGATTATCGATGTTGCGCCCTGCTAGTGAAAATATCTGTGGCGCGGCTTCTTGGTAGTTCTTTCGTCGTGTTCACATGAGGCATCTTCTGATTTTGAACGAATGCAGTGACCCTCATACGCTGAATGACTACAGCATCGTTCCGGTGAAAGACCAAGGCGTACGATTGTCCCCAGCACGAGAAAAATGAGCGTACGCGTGAGCGTCCCTTCTGCGTGGGGCAAAGTACACGTGGGAGTTGAGAGCGCGCGCCGCCCTGTCGTGGCTATCTGGTGCGCGCGCTGAGACATGTCGCTGGTAATGAGAAAACACGGTAATAGTTCTCCCGAGACACCCGTCACCAGCGGTAAGTTGTAGATATAAATAGCTTGCCATTTGAACGCTCAAGGAGGTGCTGCTTCGTGGTTCAGTGGCTAGCACTCACAATTCATAGGTTTAACGTTCGACACCACGCGATGCAGTCTGTTTCTTGATTATTTTTATTTTGCGTTTCCAAATATATAAATGC